TTTAACATGCATAAACATTCAGTATATATTTTTATTTTTTTTAATTCATTTTTTTTCAATGCATCTTTTATTACAATTATCAGTTTAGATAAGCCAAACTAAAATGATTTTTATAAGAGTTAGTTGTGATTTTCTTAGTAAATTTTACCTAGTTAAATAAAAAATGATATAGATTTTTAAGAGGATAGATAGTTTAGCAGAAATGAGAGATTGATGAAAAATAATTTGAAAGCCATATTCATGTTTTTCTATCTTTTTAATATAGATATACGTGGGAAAAAAAACAATATGGGTAAAGGAAAATATCACTTAAAAGAGTTATAACATCTTATAAAGTTATTTACGGGTCAAAGCATCCCAAATAGCATCAACAGATTTGCTTTTACTTTTTATTTCACTTAAGTACATCCTAAAAAAAATCTTAAAACTACCAAATTACTCATATTTAGAGTGGAGATCCCTTAACAAATATGGGCATTTGAGTTGTTTGACCCACCTAATAGGTGCGGATAAGGATGGTAATGGACCTGACTGGACTCGGGACCCCTTATTGAAATGTCTATACTTGTTGAAGCCCTTAAATGATATTTTCCATGTGAATAAATGGTCAAAATTACATTTGCTGACCCACATGATAAGCACCACGTACAATATTTAGAGAGAAAGAGAGAGAGGGCTTTTTAAGAGAAAAAATTTATAAGATTGTTCTTTTAAGAAGTGAGACCTTGTGACATTTTGTTTTTGACTTTGGCCCTCCCACTTTTTATTGTTGGGTATATAGATCGATTTGCCCCTCTTTTAAAAGCAAAATGTTTTAGAAGTTTCTCATTTCTCACTTTAATTCCATAGATTCTTCCCTCCTCTCACATCCTCTATTTAAAGACTCAATAATTCTTCTCTTGTCTCACATTCTCTATCTAAAAATAGGGAAGAGCGAGGAATGGGGATGGGGTTGGGGTTGAGATAGAATGTGAATAGAGGCAAAAAGGAAATTGGATTTCTAGAGAGCATATGAGGAGGCATGAATGGGGTTTGGTTTTTAAAACGAATGTAATTGAAGGCAAAAATGAGATTAGAGTTTTAGAGAGAGCTTATGATGAGATAAGAATTGGTTTGAACTTCTAGAGAGAATGTGACAGAAGAGAAGAACATATTGCGTGTTTGAGGGACACTGTGAGAGAAAAGAGCTTAAAAATTTTAGTTTTTAAGAGATAGACAAGGAAGAAACCATGAGAAAAATTGTGCAATATGAGAAAAGAGGACATTAGGAATTTATTTTTAAAAGGGGGCAAATAGTCTATTTGCCCTCCATCAAAAAGGAAGGGAGCCAAAGTAAAAAATAAGTCCTCAATGAGTCCATTATATGGTCCAAACTCAAAGTTCTGAATGAATTATTTGACTAGATATCCAGTTGGGAACTTCAAAATTGGAATTGGCAATTCAACAGAAACAACCGTCTTGATCAGAACTTGAAGTTCCAAATGGGGAGGACTAGGAAAATTAAAAAAAGCCAATAAAAGGGACATGAGTGTCGAATATGTAAAATTCAGGGCAACTTTTTAATACTGCAGAATAAATTGCATTTTAGCATAAAATTTCTTAGTGTTTGTTGTATGTAATATTTTTCTGATACACACACAATGAAGATAAAGAATATTAAAATTTTCATATCCCACATAATAGGATATGGCGTATTCTCCAACAACAAAAAATGACAATTATATATATATATATATATATCGTTCCATAATGCATATAAACTCTATATCTTAACTTACTTGAACAATTAAATTCTATTTCTATTTTCTTAATTTATGATCATTACATGATCTATGGTTAGTTACTCTAAGGTTCTAAAAAAAACTGAAAAGGAAAATAAAAATATTAGTTTCATTTCATGAATTGACATTAAATATTCAAATTTATTACTGATTCCCAAATAATATGTTCTATGAAAGGGAAAAGATGCCATAGACTCCAAACAGTAAAACTAGAGAAGACACACCAATGATGAATCAGATTCTCATCTATTCAAATTAATATAGTATATTTTTTCTTAAAAGTTGAGTTCACAATAAATTCCAAAGGATCTTAATCACCTTATTTCCCTTATATCTTATCTCGTTTTCTGCAAGAGAGGAACACCTCTATTTAAATATTCAAACACATCATACTGTATGCCGGACTAAATTACCTAGATGAGAAAAATAAGGTTTTAATATAAGATAGAAAACTCAATATTTGGTTTCTATAACTGTCAACATTGACTTTAGTATAAATGCTTGATGCTTTGAGGGGAAGCTTGATGTCATTTTATTTTTTGTTAAAAATAATGCCTTTTGTTTTAGATTTTTATATACAATAGACCAATCAAATTTTGAATATCATTATCACCATCAAAGCCTTTTTCCAACTATTTTGGGTCGGCCACCAAAGTTTATGTAGAAATGCTTAAATAGTATAATGACATAGTGTATAATTTTAACTCACGAGCTCTAGAGATCAAGTCACGAGCTATTGCTAGATCCCATGATACTGTTGTACTAGAAACATTGTAAGGTGTATCTATTCAAGAAAGCCTCTAATCCAATTTGACATGTATATCCAAAGTGTCATCACGTGACACCAAGCTAAAAGTAATATGCCGGGATTAAAGCTCCACATCGCTTAGGCTCACCTTCTATTCAATATTAGGCACCCACATCGTGCGATGCCAATATATATTGAGTATTTATGAAGCTCCATGCCTTTTTTTCCCCCTCCAAAAAATAATTTTTGAAATGGCTTTTTCAAATAAGTTTTAATTTAAAGCTCCAAAAAAAAGCTCAAATCTCTCAAATCCACTGCCCATTCAATTGTACAATCTAGATTTGATTATGGCAACAATATTGGAGGATTTTTTAGGCCTCCAACAAGAAACATATATTGTTTTTGGAAATGAAGAGATTGACATGGAATCATTATAGGTTCCTCACCCACCTCAAAAGTGATTTTTTTAAGGTGGGAATCAAGTCCATTTATCCCTGGGATGCTTGCAAATGTTGGTAATCATGTGGATAAGACCAAGAAAACACACGAAAACACAAAGCAATGGGGAACAAACAAGTACAAGAAAAAGCAAAAGATCACAACATACAATGCATGAAATGAAGAATATTTAGGTTGTCATATAAAGAAAATCAACAAAATTAGGGCAGTGGTGACTCTTGCATTAGGTAGTGGGCGCACATGAATGCACTTTATTTTGTTGGGGTGCTTTTAAACTTCGAATATCGGCTCTTCATTATACCCAGTTGGCGATTCTGATAAAGACTGGTCAATTCTCTAGGGTCAAAAAAATTGAAATATAATACGGGTGTGGTTTCTGTAATGTTGCAACCTTAAACAATCCAATTAAGACACACTTTCAAATTTTATCATAATTTTAAAGTAAAGATTCTTTAGGATTATCTTAAAATCTTTTTTCATCTTTAATTATAAAATTTTAGATTCAAAAAATGTTTTAAATCAAGTAGAAAATCTTGAAAATGGACGATCTAGATAATGTGTTTCAAGATGCACTATTTATAAGAATCAAAATCATTTTTTTATTTATAATCATACTTCTCGATGTTGAGATGACCAATTAGAGAGTTTTTAACATTAAAACAATATTTTTCGATGGATTTTTTAGGTGCATGTGTAATTTTTGCATTTAAGGTTGCAACCTTATATACACTTTTTCCATATAATATTGGGCGAATTACTCAGTCCGCCTAATTTGTGTTGGTGTTGGTGTTTCTGGATTCAAATCATCTGATTTTCTGATAGAAACAGGTGAATTTCCTTGTTTGCAACTATCAAGAACCCGAGTCCTAGTCTACTCAGGCAATTTCCGAATCAGGTTGTCGAGAACCACTGTTCAAGCGTATCATTGGCACGTGGCAATCGCCTCATGTCCAAATGTACGACGAAAAAAAAAAATTAGATAATTCACAGTAAAAAATCTAAAAAAACTATCATCCAATAAGCAAAAAACTGTTTTGTTTTCCTAAACAATGTTCAGGTTCCTTGTTGGAAGCCCCCTATAGAAGCCCATTCCAATTTATCCATGCTTTCATAACTCAAATCATAAAACAAATAATAATCCCACTATTTTGATTAACCCTCACAATGACCATGTTATTGTATTTTCTTGTATGAATGCTAAAAAAAACACAAATTGGACCCTTTCAATCATGCCCAGCCTTATATTTTGTGCTACATCAACTCAATATAGCTACTCCTTAAAAGATTCAACTCACAAAACCATTAAAAATCACAATGCTAAAATTATTTACCCTAAGAATCACTACTTTACTTCTATGTTCTTAGGAATGTACTAAAAAAACACAAATTTGCCCATTTTAAGCATTGCCCAACCTAACATTTTAGTCCTAATGAGGCCCACAAACTAACCAATCAAACCCATATCCATAATTACAAACTTTGAGACATGAATCCCTGCATTTGAAGCACAATTGAAACTGAACCAGATCAAGAATGAGCCTCGTAAACCTTCAAAGTTAATAGCCTCAAATCATCCTTTAAACTCAACCATTTGCCTCAAATCACCACTCATTTGAAAGGTATTTTTCTCCTCTTTCCAGTGATCAAAGGATCACTTCCTGACTCCATTTGTAGAGAGAGAAATTGCAGGCAAAGTGAAATGGGAAACACACCCTAATAGGCCTCTCTCTCTCTCTACTGGTCAAAGTCGTTTTTAGAGAGACAGAAATACAAGCAAGAGGGTACCCAAAAATACAAAAAATTTGATTGGGACCGTTGTGATGACGTTTGATCGACGATTGGTATCCAAAGCGGAAATCGCATCGATCCGTGTGATCGAAAACCAACCAAAAAGAGCGCACCGTTTCATCGCCTCTGATTACTTAAACCCCCTCACCCAGAAGCTCAAATCGTGCAAGAGAAAAGCCTCTTCCTCTCTCTCTCTCT